ATTTTATAGAGAATGCAAACAAAAAGTATACTTATACTTAACAACAGAAAGGTATAGTTGATATTTCTAGGACACATAATAGAGAAAAGGGCTTAGGAACATTTGATACCCACAGAGCGATTGAAGACAAGACAATCAGAGGAATGGAACACAAAACCTACCTAAAGAGGTTGTGTAAATCGTTGGCAAAACAGGTTTTAGGAGAGATAGCAAAAATGCCAAATTTACTAAGAGCTATGAAAAATAAGAAATTGTGGAGAGCCATGATAGCCTACGTACTGAAGCAACACTGCACATAGAAGAAGAATCTCTTGTAGCATTTAATTAATAAATTGCATTTCTTGCTTTCTCGTTGCAACGGCATCAAAAATAATCGAGGTGACTTTTTTTTATATATTTTGTGGAAACGTCAACGCTATGTCTACAAATGTGTTCCACAAAAATCATTCATATTTTGAAAATGCCAATTTATTTTGGAAACGATATTTAGAGGTTACTTTGTAAGGACAGGTTGTCAGAGTAGAAAAGAAAGAGAAGCAAAATTCGCCGATACGCCAAACACCTACTTGTGTAGCTGCTCAACCTTTGCAGCTCATGACGCCTGAAAAGAGCACACCGTGTGAAAAAGAGATTGCGCGGGAAGGTCACATCTGGTGGCTTCTGGAAAAATTAGATTTTAGAAAGTTCGACTTTCAGAAAAAAATACAGAGGAGTTACTTTTTTTTCTTTATACAAAAACGTACAAATAGCTACAGTCTTCATTTTTATTACAAAAAAAAATCCTTATGTCATATAATGATAAAATAAATGAGTGTTTCAATTTATCCGTAGCCTGAATTTTAATTTGAAACATTTGAAAATGTAAATGTTCATTCACTGTGATTTATTCTCAGCGTTAAATTCGTCCTGGGTATGCCAATAAACTACATCCGGCATCAAGGTTTCTGATTGGGAGGTTAAAGGTTTTGAGAAGCATGGAAGCAACTCTTAATTGCTGAACTGGGGTGGTAGCACCACTTAGGTTCTAGTCCTGGGTATGACGATAAACTACATCCAGCAGCAAGGTCTCTGATTGGGAGGTTAGAAGTTTTGATGAGCGTGAAACCGCCTCTTAATAGCTGTTGTTCCCAGATTCATCCTGGCCAGGGTATAAAAGTGATTTTTATAGTCACACTAGCAGCAATACATTTTTCAAAAAAAAATATTACCAGCAGTACATTTTTTAAGTTTGATATGCCGTAGAACAAAATAAACCGAACCAATCAGCGCTGAATTAAGTGCATTATCAAGGTAGGAGATAATAAAAAATATAAATAATATCCAGAGTAGAATAAATACTTCTTTTCATTATGAAGCTACTTACTTAAGGATCTCTCTACATAAATAACCGCTGATATTAGCTAGGACAAAAATATCTCTCTTTTTCTTAAACGGTATTTACTGAAGAAGAACGCTGGATCAGTCGAAACATTAATATGACAATCAAAATCTCGAACATGATTTCTATAACCCATAACGGTCGTTGGGCACCATATATACTGCCACCGAAGGTATCACTAAGTGTGTCTAATTCCTTTTGAATTCAGGATTGTTCTTCTAAACCAGATAAGAGCTCCACTATTCTATTATTGACTAGCAGCCATACCCAGCTGATCGATCAGAAAAACCGTTCAATTAGAATGGAGCAAAAACAGCATCTTGTTTAAATATAATAGAGTCTATCATCTTCAATTTCATTAAATTACTTCCATTAAAAATCATTTTGAATTAATGCATTTACTGATATAACAGAAGTAGTCTGTATTTATTCAATCAAGGACATGAAGGAGAAAACCAGGCAATATGAAGACCACAAATATTTTGGGGCTTTTGAAATTCAATTTGTCAGTGTGCTACGATGGATGTAAAAGAAAAAATATATAAAGTAATTGTTAAGTTTGATGAAAATTTGTTTAAAGATCAACGAAAAATAATGAAACCAGTAAAAATCGCCGTTTTTCGATATTTACGCGGGTTTTCACTATATGGATGGTCTCGATTATCAAGTTAAATGACTGTTAAACAATCAACTCATTTTTGGCTACAATTGAGTGCCGTTTGCATTAGATGGTTTTTAGTTTATAATTTGTGTTGAAATCGATTTTTCGTTTTTTCGCGGTTTTTCTCTAAACCCAGTGGCGTAGAAGTAAAAATGAGGTATCGTTGAGCTCGTCATGATGTAAGTAATCTATATACCAAGTTCGCAAGAAATTGGAGGAAAACGTTTAATTTATCGATTTTGATCGGCTTTATCGATTACTAATTTTTTTTTTTTAAATTATCGATTTTTTTTACGCTAAGTGCCTATCTCTTACATTGTACAATGTATATGCCAAGTTTGTTCAAAATTGGTTGGATGGATCTCGAGTGAAAATGTATCACACACAGAGACACAGAGACACACAGACATCCTCTGTTTTATATATAGTGATAACTGTTTGAATCCAGGGGCCCACTCTGCTGAGCTATTTAACGGAATACCAAGAAGAACAATTCCTTGATTTTGTCAGTTCTAACCTTCAAGGCCAGGACCCGCCATGCCACTCACATTGCCAGATTTTCTCCATTTTCCAATCGTTAGAAGTAATTTCCACTAAAACCGCTGTTTCCCGTGAACCACTGTCCTATGGAACCGACACCCAAAAAGATATTTACCCGATCGCGACAATCATAACCTATTAATGTCAAGGGTTAACAGTCATCTTCCTATCCTATCCGTATGAACTACCTCTTACGTCCAACTCTCAGGCGTGACTCCAAGAAGTCGCATTGAAATATTCTGCCTAGTCATCGACCTAGCGGCTAAACTGTGCGAATAGTCGGAAGAGGCCAGTAGACAGCCTGGTCGTAAGAGCTGCGCCTTAGAGGTCAACGGCATTATCAGTGGGCGGTGGAACGGAGGGATGGGTTAACTTAACATCTCCATTGCAAAAGAAACTGGAAAGCCATTGAACTCTATTACACTATACCTTGAGTGGCCGCTGGGTCTTGTACAGGGTGAACCGTACTGTGAAAAAAAAAGAAGATATATTCATACCTTTTTCGAGAGATAATACACAGAAATGAATGAACCAGAGACGAAATGTGTGTATAAACTACGATTTATTTATGCTTTCAAGTGTAATTCGAAATGGAATCTTTGATAAATACTTGAGCCCAATGTGTTTGTTTTGTTTTATGGCATATCAACACATTGTGGGTCATTTAATGCCGAAATTTAATGTTGTTTTTTTTTTAATAAAGACTTGCATTTAAAATATCATATAAAAACAAAGAGTTAATTTAAAGTAGTAGATCGGGTGAGTATTCTATTACTATTACTATTTTTCGTTTAATGGCATATCAACACTTCATGGGTCATTTAATGCTGAAATTTAATTTTCTTGGGAGCATTAGTAATTTATTTTACAAAAATGTATTGCTGGTATTATTTTTTCAAATATGTATTGCTAGTATTGCTATTTTTACTATGAAGTTGTATTGCTGGTATTTTTACTATGAAAATGTATTTTTATACTTTTATTGTATTTTGACCTCAGTTTAGTGGGTAACTATTTTCCTATAGTTGGGACTATATTCTACCATCCCGAGTTGGGGCGGACCTGGGAACAACAGCAATTAAGAGGTGGTTTTACGCTCCTCAACCCCCCCCCCGACCAGATGCCTTGCTGACCGATGTAGTTTATCATCATACCCAGGACTTGAGCACAATGTGTAAGAGAATAGGAAAATGTAAAGCTTTTTTTTTATTTTTGTTTACAAAATTAAGCAAGACTTTTCAAAATGTAATTTTCTACTGATGAGGACAGGTTAACTTCATCAGTATGGATTTTGATAGCCAATTGGCCAGATAGACACTCTTTGGTAAGCGACCCCATGTATTTGAGAGTCTCACACAAAATTTCTAAATCAAGAATGTTCTTATTACCAGACACAATTGAAACTAGACATAAATCCCCGATAAGGAATCTACAGGATGCCCAGTAAAAAAGCGGCAAATTTATTATCACTGATTTATTTTTCAGGAATAATTGGCCCGGAATAACCTTGAATAAATTTCTTGAATAATCATTTGACTCTCGTTTAATTAGGTTATTTGTAGACAACTTTCGTCTATCGTTCTGCTTTTCTCAGATTCTTTTAACCCAGCATGCATTTCGTTACTTCCGACTCTAAGAGAGGGAGGGGGAAAAGTTTTGCCAGCTCTCCATATTCTTTCTAGGTTTTGAAATAATCCATAGTGTTGGGACCAGGCATTGTCCCTTTGTGTTTTTGATCATTGAACTTTTTTCTTCTTGTTTGTACGGGGGGATCGCTTCGCTATGGCGGAAGCCCACCGGAAAATAGAGACATTGGCCACCCAGCCATCAACTTCAGCATGGGCGTCTAAAAGGCCCCCTAAAGGCCCGGATTATTACCAGGGCCCGAGAGAGGACTATAGCTCCTTCATCTCAGGTCATGAACTTTTATCGGTGCCTTCTACGATAGAGACTACAGCAGGAACCATCTCCCTGTTGACGGCTGGAGTCAAAACGCGGAGATTTATTGCTGTCAACGGTTAGACGATGGAAGAGGCCCTCTAGACATTAAATATTAGGGCAAGTCAAATGTCATGTGTGATATCCTGCTGGCAACAGAGAACGGTGCAAAATCCGGTAGGGTACTCACCAGCAAGACACTCAGACTTCAAACAGCATACATGGGCACCTGGAAAACTCGGATTTCCATAAATGAGTTGCCCATGTACATCACTGAGGACCATTTGGGGGCCTTCTTCTCGCATTACGGTGTAGTGGATAATGTATCCTCCATCAGAAGTAAGGCGGGCCTTGCCACCGGTGTTTTCAAAATCATGGTAACACTCACCCAGCCATTCAATTAGGTCCTTAGCGTCAGTACCTGCACCAAATCACCTCTGTCGTAGAAAGGCCGCCATCAACACTGCTGGGCAGAAACCCGACACCACAGCGTCAACCAACAAGGGATCAGCTCTGGACGGAAGTAAGAAAGAACGCCCCTAGTGGTCCTAGCGAGTGGAATGAGGTGGGGAGGAACCAAGGCATGAACTCCGCCTCCCTTGCAGGATATCATCAAAAAAGGCGCTATCAACCAGCTGCAGCAACAACAAGAGCAGCCGAAAGAGCAGCAACCTAAACAACAGCAGGGACAACAGTAGCAGTAACAACAGCAGCAACAGCAACAGCAGCAGCCCAAGCCGAAGTGACAACAGCAGCAGACGAAGCGACATCAACCGAAGAAGCTGCAGCAATGAAAGCAGCCGGAGCAGCCCAAGCAGCTGCCGGAGCAACCACAACAGAATCAGTCGGAGCAGCCTAATCAGCAGCAGGAGTTGCCGCAGCTGGACATCTACGTGGAGATAGAGAAAATGCCTCCACCTTGATCCTCCTCACTGAAAAGGGATAGGGATGAAGAGGATCTGAAGCATACCAAAATGTAGGGGAAGTCTAGTCGGAGTAGGGCTGAGAAGGCCCTGGTAGCTACAATGACCCAATCAGCTCCTGTTTCGCCAGCAAGAAGGGAAGGTAAAGGAAGGAACATTTCCTCAGAGTGGAGAAAATTTGTTTCGTTGACAGGCCTCGAGAGGGCCTCGACAGGGACCTTTGTTCTCAAAGAAAGGCCCTCTTGAAGCCTCTATTCAAATGCACCTCTGTTGACGGGAAGTCAAAAGAGGACCCGAGAAACTTTCCCGGTGACACCAGTGTAATTAACCTTATAAGAAACACCGGGAGTAACCTCAAGGTTTAGAAACGTCTTGCGGGGGCTAAATATGCCTTCCTGAAGCTCCGGATGGCTAAGATAGAGTGTCTGGAGCTGAAAAGACTGTCCCAATTTTACTCTGGAAGAGTCACAGTTCTGCTCCACACCTCTTTATATACGACTCTCAAGTTAACACCACAGACGCCGGCGATATTGTCACAGAGTGTTGGATTACGCCCGATGTAGGCACCGGGAGTATGGAACAATCCGTCGCGGTCTTGACCCCCACAGATACAGTCTGTATTTAAGAGATTCTTGACTTTAAAAGATGTTTATCAAGCTAGCTACCTTGAATGCGATGTGCTTGAGAGATCGGGGTAAGACTACCCTCCTGCTTCGTGATAACTTGTCCTTCGGTGTAGATGTAGCTGCGATCCAGGAGGCACACTATGTTTGCGATGTTGGTGCTCGTGTGCTGTCTATTCAGCATATGGGCGCCATCTGGCCAGAGGTGTTTCGTTGTTAGTAAAACGTTCCCTGTCCATGTCGACGCGGGGAATGGTGATCGTGGCCGATATTGCCGTTAGCAGTAGTTCGTTCCGAGTCGTTGTGGTTTATGCGCCCGAGACTAGACGGAGCATGTCGATATTTTCTGGTCTATGTTTAATCTTAATGGGGTACTGGGATGCCATCCTGGACCCTAAGATAAACAGCAGGCGATGAGATAGCGGGAGATCATCGGGCGATCGTATCTTGATCGACAAGTTTGGGCTTGTCGATAGATACCATGTCTATCATCCAAGGCGGGAGATTTGGACGTGGGCTCTTAAGTGGCCGTCTCTCCGAGTAGCCAGCTACCTGGACAGGATCTTAATTAGAAGGGTCGATTTGCTATACTGCCCCAAGCTTCATCGGTTAGACTATTCTGACCATAGACTGGTCTGTGCTCGTATGGTGTTAATCTGACAGGCGGGACTTCCAGCAACAGCTGACCGGTTATTGGGTATGTGGTTGTAGAGGATTAACGATAGGATTAGGTCTTTCACCACCGAATATGGCCAACGATTCGCTCTAGATAAGGCTAAGGTTCTAGAGGATAGTCTGTACCAGGCGGAGGCTAGGGGAGATTCCCTAGAGATAGCACTAGCTAGGTAGGCTCTGGAGCGTGAGGTTAGCAAGCTCTACCAGAGTCATTAGACAACGGTTAACCGAGATGTCTAATGAAGCTGTGAATATGGGCGCTGAAGTGGCGTACTCTGAGGTCGACCAAGGACATGTGTGAGGCGTTTCGGTGGCATTTCGGAAGCCGGTTTACCAAGGAACCTGGTCTCTGTGGCGATGAGTTTCGCAGCTATTTGGCTGACTTTCCTCGGCTTGAGCCGACTGAAGCAGCTAGCTGCGAGGGAGAGATCACAGTAGACGAAGTTCACTTGGCATTGAAGAGAGTCGGCAGTGGCAAGGCTTCGGAAATTGATGGTCTGTCTTATGAACTGTACATGAGTCTGTCGCACATCTTTGTTCCAATTTTGACAGTCGTGTCCAGCAACTGGTTCAGGAAGAGGTCCATCCCGAATCTGATCTCTAGTTATGTTAGTTTCAAGATGAAAGTCAGTCATTCTGATCAGTTGGTAAAAAAGGGCTGATTTAGCATGTCTTTTATCTATTTTGAGAACTGACCAGCGGTTTATGATCTGTTAAAACTAGTACTGTGAGGTCTAGCGTAATTAATAGCGGCTCGTAAAACAGTCAGGTTCCTTGCATTCACTTACGCTTGGAGAAGTGTTTAATCTATATAGTCTCCGTGGGTTGAATAGCAGGACAAATTGATCCCCCCCTATACCCTTGGTTGATAGACAACTTGCTACAGAAAGCAACGACAGGAAATCATCTACCTAGAAGATTGAAAAAGACATGATATCCTAAATGTGAATCACATGTATGTGACATGATGCAGTCGATCACGGCTCGGAATAAGAAAACGAGGAGTAGAGTTCGAATTCCAATCGAATTCGTTGCATTCAATTACGCTTGGGAAATGTATGAATCTATCTCGTGAATAGCAGGGCAGACTGGGGCTTATAGTAGACTGGCGACTCGTCTACTCCCACAAAGAAACGGCCGTTTACTGCAGGAGATCTTTTGCCTAGTGAGTCATGAGTCGAAAGCTGACATGATCGCCCAAGCATGGATCACGTATGGCTTTTAACTAACTGAAAACTACCTTTCAATAAGTATTAAATGCGAAGAACGACTGCAGAATAGAGTCTCTAATAATTCTCGTTGTCCGAAAGTGTTGGATATCGTTCTGCATTAAGATAATTTTCTGTCAACGATGCGTTCATGTAATTCGGTACCTAATTCAAATGTTGAAGCATCAACTTCTAGTCAAAGATCAGCCTTTGGATCCAAATAGGCTTAGACTAACGTTATTAGCCAAATCTCTTTAGCCTTTTCGAAAGCTAATAGGCAAGTGTCCGACAACTGTCAAGGGATAAACTGTTTCAGAACATCACGGAATGAAACAGTGATAAGATTTGAAAAGGCTTCAAAATTGATGTAGATTTTCTCATCGGTGTGAGTAGAGGCCATTTACGTTCAGCAACAGTTGTGTCCGGTAATAAGAAAATTCTTGATTGGGTAATTTTGTTATCAGGAAAATCGATTTCACTCAACCGAAATTCGTTCCTGGCTGTGCGGCCTACAATACGCATAATGCATTCCTCCTTTTTTATCATTTCGCCTCAAGCAAGGAAATAAAGCTACTAAGATGCAAAAGGTTACTGAGTGTTAGCGAATATGAAAAAAAATAGAGACACTATTAAGGATAGACAACAATAAGAGGAATTAAGAGAGAAAAATTTTTGAAGATCAAATTTGACTGGGGAACAAGAAGTCGCAAGAGAGTTTCACAAACGAGTATTTCGATAGAAGAATCTGTTCTCATAGAACTTACGGCTATATCTAGCCAAATCAAATGTAAATACTTGAGACCTTTCCGCCCATCTAGTACTTTGCTTAAATGCATAAAATCTAGGTGCCATAAAGGTAATTTCATCAGAACAATGACTATGAAAAGGATGCTACGTTTGAGTGGTGGAAAAGCACTGAAGCCAAGATGCCATGTCAGGGCCAATAACATTGCAAATTCTTCTTTGGATGTTATCAAAAATGTCTAAATATATAGAAATTCCTAAATATATTGGTGAGTCTCACTCCTCTGCAGGATTTGAGTCTCTCCACTAACCATGGACCTGCTTATAAACTGAAATATAAACGACTAATATTTACCTATTCCTGGATCAAGTAAATAAATTGAATCAAGTAAATACTTACAGATTAAAATATAAACGGCTAATCTGTAGCTACCCTGAAGCAAGTAAATAATTACAGATTAATATATAAACGAGTAATATTTATCCATCCCTGAACGAAGTAAATGTTTATAGATCCAAATATATATATATGTCCAACGTTGTATGCAACTAAATCTTGATTTTTATCTACCCTGTTTGTGGTCGTCAGTGATTGCTACTTCTTTTTGGGGAGGAGGAGATATTCTTTATCATTTTTGTATAGCGATCGATCTGAAGAGACAACAGTAAATCGATTCTAAAACAGACATTAAATCAAATGCTTGTTTTCAATCAACAATAATAAAAAAAAGTAACCCTGTCCAAATATAAAGGACAATTCTTGAATCGAGAAAATGCTCATAAATTCAAATATAAATTACCATTTTTTAAAACTATCCCCGGATTAAATGTTTATAGACAGAAATAAAGAAAAACTGATTTGATATTAAATAATCCAACAATTTTTGAAGTATTGACAAACCAATCACACCAATCTAACTTAATGCTAACTAAAAGCTGATATTGATTAATAACTTCCCCTACTTCTGTCATTTGACACCTATTCATAAGGTTAAAAAAAAAACAACCATAAATCTAGGAAAACACAGAACAGAATTTTTCAAAAGAAAACGTAGAATTCATATTAACTAAAATGTATAAAAATTGCTCCTTTTGGAATATCTGTTTTGCTTATAGAATTTTAACGATCACAAAATACGATGTCAAACTGTTTAATTCCCTCAATTGGGCTGTGAGGAAGAATAAGGAATATAGAACGGTAATCTATCTATATATAAAATTCTAAATTTCACACCCTCTAAGATACACTGACCGACCGAAACCAAATAATTTTTCATTATTTTTTTGGAAAATTAAAAATTTTGTTATTTAACATCGAAAATACTCACTATTTTAAAAACAAATTAGTGATTTAAATAACATACTTATTTAATGAAAATGCAGTATTGTTTGTTTATGTTTTCTTTTATATATATATATATATATATATATATATATATA